CCTTTTCTGGTTCGTTCCACATCTTTTAATAAATATTGTTGTAGTGAAGCTTTTATTTTCGTGTGTTACATTGTTATTTTACAACGTTACTGATACTTACACTGGATGATCAACAAAGTCAATTAAATCAGGTCCCTTTCCTGCTAGAAGCAGCTCTAATCTAAAAAACTCATGGCTTAAAGCTTTGTTGTTACAAGCTCATTATAACTGCAGCATTGTGCAGGTTTGCATGAAAACACTTCTTGGCAGTCTAAATTTAGAGTAAGAGTAGGCCTCAGTGATGGAAAGAGTTGGGTGTTGTTCTATTGGAAAGTAGGCCAGCAGGCGTGAGGGATGATGCAGTGTGTAGGTTTTTCTGCACCCAGCCACAGGCCCTATGCTAAACACACTTCAACATGTACACGTGCATGCACAATCACGTGCACACAAGCAGAGACACAGACTCACTAAACCTGCGGCACAAATACAAACACTCATTGCAGATTTTAATAAAGTAATTGCTGCTTTGTTTCAGCTGGACACTTTTTCTTAGTTTCATCCAGATATTTAAAGCTTTGACAGCTGTGTTCAGTCTTGGCTTTGCGTTCTGTGTCTGATTGTATAATCCTCCACTGTATCCAGGTGGTTTGGCACTTCCCTCCAAAACTCCTCACACTCCAGATTCCTCCCCCGACACCGGCCGCTTCCAACCCACTCCCAATTACACCGTAGAGGTAAGGCACCAGCACATAACAATCCCAGTCCAACTCTTGTCTGTAGGCTCGCTCAGGCAGTGTGATGGTTTCTTTCTGAACCTGACGCTTTCTTTTATAGGTGTTGATGTCTAGCTGTTCACTTTGTAAGACATGTGACTGTCTGGTGTATGATGAGGAGATAATGGCAGGATGGACGGCAAATGACTCAAACCTCAACAGCACTTGTCCTTTCTGCGGCACAGCCTTCTTGCCTTTTCTCAATGTGGAAATCAAAGATCTGAGACCGCACAGCAGGTAAAATTTACACAGCACACTATGCTTACAAAGAGAGCTCAAACACTTTGAATAGTTAAAGCCATCAATTTGGGCTATTTTCAGTTACAACATTGTGCTAGATTGTCTTTTTCTATAGTATCTTGCTAATTGTCTGGAACATTTTTTTTTCTTTTTACAAAAGAGCACTGAGGCACACAGACACAGACAAAACATCTTTTATCCCCGTGGCCCATTTAAACAGATCCACTCTCTGTCTCTCATCAGGTCGTCTAAGAAAAGCAATCCGGTTAAAGAGGAGGATACATCCCTGCCACCCAATCCCGAGGAAAAAATCTCCACAACAGACGGTGCAGCTGAGGCGTCTGCAGCTCCTGCACAGAAGCGGGAGAGCAGTGGGGGTGCTGGCCAAGCCCCAGCCTCATCCTCGTCCTCCTCCTCCTCCTGCTCCTCTGCTTCTGCTCCTGTAACAGTGCCCTACTTGAGCCCTCTGGTTCTGTGGAAGGAGCTGGAGAGCCTGTTAGTGAATGAGGGCGACCAGGCAATCTCCTCCCCAAGCGTTGTTGACCAACATCCCATTGTCTTCTGGAACCTTGTTTGGTACTTCAGAAGGCTCGACCTGCCGAGTAACCTGCCAGCTCTTATCCTGGGCTCCCAACACTGTAGCCACGAAGACCAGGTAAATATGACAGCCTGTCACCCACGCAGAATACTTTAATGATGTCATCCCGTGTGCCATCAGCAACTAGAAAAGTGAATATTGTAGCTCATTAGCTTAGCCAAGCGCTAAGGCAAGCAGAAACAGTTTGTACCAACTGGCACTTCTAAAGCTCAGAAAATTATTTGGGACTTTGGTGACTCCTAGTGTTGTTATTAAAAATCAAAACTAACAAAATATAATGCATGAAACCATAACACGACTTGTGCCTACAGAGGACAATGCAATAATGAATTCCTCTTTTTTATGTATTTTGTCCCCTTCAGACTCCTCAGATGCTGTCATCGGAGGACAGCAAGCAGGTTCTCGTGAGGATTATGTGGGACAATTTGAAGTTGCACCAAGACAAAGTTCAACCCTGCTACGTCCTGTGGAACACCCACTGTAAGTTAATACAATGTTTACTTTCACAGACTATAGTGCAATAAATTAGAAAAGGTGATATCAGGCTACCTTCAGAAAATTATTTTCCCGGTAAGGTCAGATATTTACATGCAAAAGAAACAATGCATATTAACAACTAGTAGATCATGCATAATTCAGCTCAGGAAACCTATTAATCAAGTCATCTTATCAGTGAGCCACACCTTCAGACTTCGTTTCTTCATTTCTCTCATCTGTTAATGAGAGAAATGAGATGAATGAACCTTTGATCGCAGTGATTTTAATCTCTCCCTCTTCGCAGGTGCCAACTCGCTGGTTCGCTCCGGGTTATGTGAAGAAGGCCAACTCTTCACTGTGGAGCTCCTGCAGGGTTTCGTGAGGAGCATTAAGAAGAGTGATGTGCATCAGCCCATGAGCCAGATCATTCAGCTGTTGGGGCCTGAGTTAGGTTTTAAAAGACAGAGGTAAGTAAATAAAGAGGTGTGTGATGAGTAAAATTACACCGGCAAAATCATATGAATGGAAAATCTCATTGCTTTTCTTTTCTTTTCTCTCCCAAAAAAGGAGTCTCTACAGAGAGTTATTGTTCCTTGCTCTGGTGGCTTTGGGGAAGAACAACATTAATATCAGTAAGTTCAGAGCATGGATATTTTAGTTTTTAGTTATTTTAGCAGGACTGGAAATGTCAGTCCACTGCTTTTGCCCAAATATGTAATAATGACTCTTGATGGCTTTAATGATGCCCTGACATTTTGTGTAACTCCATCAGGTGGGTTTTTTTTCTTCTTTTTTTCACATATCCTGTACAAAGTTTTGTGTAAACAGCCATCTTGGATGCAATACACTAGCCTCATTTGTACTCTGTACAAAGTATAAGATTAAAGTGTTTGAATATATCCACATAACACAGTTTTAGTACCACCTTACATAACCCAAAGCATTTCTCTGACCATCTACAATAGAACAGCTAGCTAGAAGACTGTAGATTCTTCTGCCGATATTCTCAAATGCCTGCTGTTTGTAGTTAATGGATATAAAAGATTTTATATAAAGAAAGCGTGCTGACAGATTCTTAACTTACCATTATCTCTCCTGCAGGTGCTTTCGATCGCGAGTACAAGCTGGCATACGATCGCCTCACCCCCAACCTGGTTAAACTGACACACAACTGTGACCGGCCCCCTGGAGCAGGGGTCATGGAGTGTAGAAGGACATTTGGAGAGCCTGGTTTGTGAACCTCTTGTCCCCCTTCTGTAGCTTTTTTTCCTCCCTCCAACAGTCACTGCTGCTGTTGTTGTTTTTTTGTTTGTTTCTTTGTTTGTCAAACTGCTCTTCAGACTCAGGACCAGCTCATCTGACTGAAGCATTAAGCTCTTGTAAGCACAATGGGACTGAACATAATGCAACTGCCATGAGTTTCTTGAAAACTGTCAGAGCTGAGAGACATGAAGTGACAGGCCTTGTATTTGTAAATACTTTGAGGATATTTTCTGTATAAATGTTTGCACAGTTATTACACGGTCTACTTTATGCCTCTGTTACTGTTGAAGCTGTGAATAAGTAGGTACAAGTAAGTGTAAGTTCACCTCGTCGAAATTCCTCAGTGGTCCTGGTGACCTTGTTAAGACTGTTGTTGACTGTGTGTACTTTTAGACGTTCATGTTTTTACAAAGCACTTTGATAAGATGAGCACTTGCCATTTGTTCTCATTTACATGGGGCTGTGTCTCTGCCACGCACACCTTAGTCATGGTTCTGTCTGAAATTTCCACAGGTTCAAGTTTGTAAAGGCAAATCACTTCCTCTTCATGTACACCTCATAAAGCGGACAGGTTAAACTCATATACTGAAATACACTAAACTAGGTTGTAACCTCATAAAATTATAAACCACAAAATTGTTTCTGATTCAAGAATGGAGCCAGTTAATTTATATGCACAATGTTTATTTGTTTTTGTACAATGTACCAAAAGATCCCAAAAGGGAATATTATATAATTCATTAATTTACAGTTTGGGTTTTTTTTAGGCATTATCTTTTTTTAAAGTAATGATTAAAATTTTGTGTTAAATGTGATTTTGCAAGGATGGATTTCCTTAAAAACAGTACAATCAATCAAAAGGAGATAAATGTTTTCTGTCAACATTTTCTTTTATAAAGACTTTGAGTCACAGTAATGGGTTCATAATAATGTACAGAGCATTTGACTCTAGAATTTTGTATATTTTCTTTTTGTCTTCAATGTATGGTGTCAATGTTTTAGATATTTGGACAACAGTGCACTGTTTAGTGTGACGACATACAGAGTATTGATGGATGTTTTACCCACTTATACTAACCGGTCTTGGAACAGACGGTAGTGCAGGCTTATTTGCACTGAGAATATTTAAAGATATATAGATGTCAAAGGCATTTCTTTGACATGACAAACAGCTCCGACCTGCCCTCATTCAGAAATCACTTTAAAACACAAGTGTGACAGTTCACTCTTTCACGATCAACTGACAAAAAACCTGGAGTGATGCAGCTCCACAGCTCATTGCTGGCCTTTGCAGTAACTGATGATACAATGCTGGATTATATAAGTCTGTGTGCTTGAAATAAAACACCAATCTCACAGCATGTAGACCAGTATTTTAGCCAACTTGTAAAAAAAAAAAAGGTCTGGGTAAAAAACAAAACAGTGAATGACCAAAACATAATTTTATGTCTATGTGTTGTTTACACTAAGTGTCAATTTTAACAATGTTTTCAATGTATTATTTATCATTTGTAACACAGATACCGATTTGTATGATTTTTACATAAAAAAAGAAAAGAAATGAAATTTCTTCCTTAGGTGGATGTATAGTTTGACTTCATTTATGAATAAAGACATTTATTCTATGGATGTTGTGTTTGATTTATTTTTTATTTTTTCAATGATTTTTCATGATTTTTGAAAAAAAAAGTTCAAGCAAGCTCAGGGTCCCTATCATGATTCTTACAAAATCATTTACTTATGATGATACAAAATACACATTTAGTAGCCTACGTTTTTCAAGATGTGTCCACAAACTAACACTTTTACTTGCATTTCATAGACAGTGCATAAAAAACCCATTAACATCTCTGTTAGGTCTTACACCGCAAAATCTACACTGTATTAGACAGTAGTCATGCATCTCCCCGTGTACTATGAAAATCAATTTAAAAGCTGCCATCATTTCTATAAGTGAGTATCGGGTTCTAGAAAACGCTTTATTGCTGCTGACATACCAGACACTTCACTGGTAACAATGCAGAGCACGTAGCTTTCTGAATGTTTCCTATAGATATCCAGGTCTATGCTCGTGAGATCCTTTCCCAAAAAGGTTAACAGTTCAGCAGAAAGAATTAGATGGAAACTGGGCAGATGATGATACGATCTTCCAACATAACACTGAGCACCAAGAAGATAAAGTAGAGGAGGAACATGGTGAAACCCAGCACCTTATTCATCTTCCAGTTACAGGAAGCAATGGAGATGATGACAAAGAGGAGCATGAGGAAGAGCAGCACAATGGCACAAAAGAGCCCATTGCTGCTGACAGCCACTGGACCAAAACTATGGATGGCTGAGTACAGGAGCCAAGGGACTGGGAGACTTTTAAATAAAATGATAGTGAAAAAACATAAAGAAAAGGGAGAGAAAGGAATTATTAAAGTTTGTGTTAAGCAGCTTTAAAAACGAAATTGATGACGATCCAGCTATAGAGGCTCACCCCACAGTGATGTCAAAGATGTTACTGCCCACAGAGCTAGACACAGCCATGTCTCCCAGGCCTTTACGAGCCACAATCACACTGGTAATGAGGTCAGGGATGGAGGTCCCCGCAGCCAGCATAGTCAGGCCCATAATTTCCTCTGAGATGCCAATAGTCTCACCCACCTAGGAAGATGAACAAGATTTTTAGGTGCTCAGCTTTTAGTTTACACAGATCTTTTAAGCGATACTGTGTGTCAATGCACATCAACAGGAAACAAAGCAGAGTATTTGTATCTAAAGTAACTGACCTGATGGGCCCACCACACCATGAGGTACGAGAAGATAGCAATCCATAGAATAGAGCCCAGGAAGGTGACAACAAAGAATTTTCTGGATTTCTATAGGACAAAGTGAGTTATGGAAAAGCAAAATGCAGCATGATTTAAATTACCACAGCTGATATCAGAAATATTATGGTATCTCTCACCGGGTTGCGAACATCTGGGACGGTAAGCCACAGAGGGAAAACTATGGGCAACAGGAAGAGGTAGGTTGCTTGCTTTCGACGTGTATCGGGCCATTCTAAAGACAGAGGTTCATCGTCTTTTTCATCTTCTTCTTCGTCTTTATCCTCATCATCATCCTCATCTTCACTGGACTCGTCACTTTCATCATCGCTGTCCTCTTCGTCGCTCTCAGAGTCGTCTGACTCTCCTGACCCATCATCTTTTGCTGGTACATCTTCCTGAAGTAGGAAAGATACCGCAATTAAAAACGTATGATAAAAAGAAACAAAAGTCAAACCATCCTAAGGAAGCAGGTGCCCACAAGTTGTATCATTGATCTGTGCATTGACTCTTACATAGACAGGAATCAAAGACTGACTTCTGGGCTTTTTGAAAGCCACCAGGACATGGTTGGAGAGTACCTTCTTGTCCTCTGGCTGCTCCTTCTTTTCTTCTTCTGCAGCTGGGGTTGGTTCTGACTCTTTGCTCTGCTCAGTTTTTTCCCCACCATCTGTGAAAGGAATCCCAAAGAGTTTGCTTATTAACTGCGGGCCCTTATGCAGTTATCTGGAAGACTTTAATTTCATTTAAGACTTCAGGACTGATTACAGGAAGAACTGCAGTCAATGCATTAGCTGAATTCACTCACTGTCTTCTTAGCTATATACCTTTACATTCCTTGAGTTCTCTGCATAGTTATATGCACTTGGTTTTTACATGCAATTTGACATGTCAAATATGTCAAAGAAAAAAAAAACATAAAGCTAGCATTAACAAGTAAACAAGCTTCAGTGATTTAGCATCCTAACAGATGAGTTTCGTCTTGCTAACCACCTTGGCCAACGTGTGATGCAGAGAAATGTTAAAAACGTTGTTAATACTTCCTTACATTCACAAGGAAAGCTGTGATGACGGTGGAGAGGGCTGCTCTGACCATGTTGTTTTATTACTTTTTTGCTAAAATGTTATTTGGCAAATTCCTCCACCTCCTGTCATTCTCAGTTTGTTAGCAAGTAATATTTGGTAATATAGTAGATATTCAGTTATAAAAGTAATAATATTTTAAAATTCTTCAGTCAGGAAAGAGTGCCAAAAGCTGAAGACATCCATGTAAAGTGCAGACAGACAGCAAAAATGGTATGTTTTAATCTGTTCCAGTTTAACTAGTTAAACTGTTAAAAAGTGGAATAATATGTTTGTTTGTGTATTCTGGAGGCTGGGGAATCTCTGCTTGCCTTTGTGTAAAAGTCACGCCACCGTCATACAGTATATATATATATTTTTTTAACTAGTGTGTACTAACTGTTTCCAAGGTATAAGCTAAAATATTACTACAATGGGGAAACAGTTGTTTTATTATGATAGTTGGCATATAGCGACATCTACTGATGTTGAACAAAAAACCTATTTTTTTTTTAAGTCATTTTGCACATGTCATTTTAATGCTTTGCAGACCAGCTATTGATAATGATACTAAGCAGGTGTCAGTCTCTAGTCAGTGAATGACGCTCACATCCTTCAATGTTACCTTCACTTTTGTCTTTGGCGTCTGATTTCTTTCTTGCCACGCTGTTCAGAGTTTCAGCTTTCTCCTTAAATTTCCCTACAAACACACAAAGTGGCAAAATAAAATTTGAATCACAGACGTCACACGGAGGGCCCTAAACACAGTACAAAGTGCTTTTAATTTAGATTCATTATGTGTATATTGCTGCTATATTACGGTAGTCATGAAACCCTAAAGAGAGCCTGATTGAAAATGTTGGTGGTTAAGATTTGTATTTGATTAACTTATTGCTCATCTTTTCATCAGACTGCACTTTAGATTGAGAATTACTATAAGTTAATTTAGTATTTAACTGATATTTAATTGTCATTTCCTGGAGTGGGAGGAGCTACTGACTATATGGTCAGCTACTTTCCAGGAGCATTGCATGTTAGGTCATAATGGTGAGTAGGCCACAATGGATGTACTACAGAATTGCTTTCTTAATAGTTTATTTTACTTTTTGGATAATCAGTGTTTAAGTTGAGGTTACTTGTTTTTCTTTTGCTTTATACTAAACTTCTTGCCTTAGTTTGATTGCAAATACGGCACACTAATAAATTGCTATGATGAAAAGGGGGGATAAACAAAGACTGGACTGTTCATCTGCGTCCACCACACAGCCATTCCTCACAATGAGGCTAAAATAATTATTAATATTACCAGTAGTACAGCAAAAACCACAGAAAGACAGCGTCAGCAGTCAATTTTTCAACTTCTCATATTTTGGACTAAATACACTCATCCCAAGGTACATAATAACAGAGTAGAGTATTTCTATTGATAGTGCTCCCCAGACATGAGAAAAGGTTTGATTGACTAAAAATTATTGCTTGACAGAATTACTTCTGTCACTGATGTTTCTTGGATGGATCTCAGGGTGTTTTCATGCCTGCTGTGTTTAGCCCATTTAAATCAAACTCTGGTTCATTTCCCCCCTTCATGCAGTATGTTTGTGCAGATGTGAACACAGTAACCACACCAAGAGCCTTTAGAGGAGGTGGTCTTGGTGCAAATGAACTCCTTGAAGTTTGTTTATAGTGTGAATGTGATCCGACAGTGATTCAAGCCATGGCTTGAATCACTGTCGGATCACATTCACACTAGGAGTTGAAGACTCCTAGTTGAAGACCACTAAGCAATATCAGATCGAGCGTGAGAATATTCAGCCTGCTTATTGGCCAGATGTGTCTGGGGTGGGAATAACAACAGTAAAAACAGGAAGAAGGTGTTGTGTTCTGGACTATTTTTATTCTAAATTTATCTTCATTTCATAGCTAGTTGCTAGCTCGTAAAGACCCTTGCACATCTATAGTACCTTTCTGCTTTCAGATTACAAAGCATTCATGGCTAAAGGGAATTTTCAGCTCAAACGTATAACATAGATAATCTTTGTAACCATTTTCTCAAATGTCAAATCTGGATAGGTCAGCCCATCATCACACTGTCAACCCAGCTTACATCTTCTAAATCATTGCATTTTAACTAATTTAAGGGAAAGAAAACCCCGTCATCATCAGTGTAGGGACTAACGTTATTAAGTAACACGTTACAGTAACTACGGTATTATTGTGGTAACGAGCACGGTGACTAGTTATTATGCCAAAATCAGGAACGCATTAATCGTTACTGGGATTTGGATAGGGTCGTTATTCGTTACTTCGTGTGGTGGCTATCGCAGCTTCCACAGATTCAGTAACATTAGCAAGTGGTGGAAGCCAGCAGGTGGATGAGGGAAAGGAGGAGCAGAGAACCGAGGCGGCCGCCGGTCCGAGTGTCAGGTGAACTGAACTTCAGGTAAGAAGTTATAACCTGCAGTCCATCTGGGTCAGAAATAAACCAAGTTTAGATGGAGTTTAAATGGTAAATGGCCTGTATTTGTATAGCGCTTTACTAGTCCCTAAGGACCCCAAAGCGCTTTACACAACCAGTCATCCACCCATTCACACACAGGTGATGTCAAGCTACGTTGTAGCCACAGCCACCCTGGGGCGCACTGACAGAGGTGAGGCTGCCGGACACTGGCGCCACCGGGCCCTCTGACCACCACCAGTAGGCAACGGGTGAAGTGTCTTGCCCAAGGACACAACGACCGAGACTGACCAAGCTGGGGCTCGAACCGGCAACCTTCCGATTACAAGGCGAACTCCCAACTCTTGATGAACCAGTCCAGCCCTGTATGCAGCTCATCTGCAGTCTGGTGTTACCTACATCTTCCTATTCGGAAGGCCGAATTTCTGAGTTCTGCGTACAATCGAAAGCACCACGACTGCAGTTTTTGTGTTGGATGTAAAAAGCGCACATGACGCTGTGACGTAGGCTAGAATCGTGGCGGCGGTCAACGGTGTGGGATTTCTCCAGGTGTGGGATTTCTCTCGTGGAAATATGCACATCATTTTTTCCTTTCTATTGGTAGGTGGCACAGTGCACTTGTGGCAAGTAAGCAAGCTAGAAGACTGGCAATCTTGCTGGGTATCCAGTTATGGAAGCAACACATTAACAAGAGAATTCTGAGTAAAACCAAAGTTACTTTCCCTAGTAACTAGTTACTTTGAAAGTAACGATTAACTTGAAGTAACTGAGTTACTTTTGATAGAAGTAACTAGTAATGTAACTAAGTTACTAATTTAAGTACCTTACCCAACACTGGTCATCAAGCACTAACTGACTTTTTCTAGAGTGTATTGCAGCTATACCCTGGTGATATTCTTCCTGTTCTCCTACAGGCCTCTAAATGGATCCCTCTACAGACTGAGGTAGGTATTTATCTGCTTAGTATCAATCTGGACTTAGTGCTGCCTTCATGTGGGACACTTTGCTAATCCATTTTAGAATGAGAAGGACATAGTACTCAGACAGCTATTATAAAAGCACTTGGTACACAGTTATCAGTCATCAAACAGTATTCACAGCTATCAAATAGTACTCACCATTACCTATAGGGTCTAATGTATGAATCATGAGTTGGAAGATGGTGTTTCTCATTGTGCTGTTGTGTAAAGAAGCAGAACTCCCACCTCGCTGAAGGGATGGCTTCAACTGGGGAAAGAGACAGCTGAGGTCATGATAACTAGTCACTGTACAGATAATAGCACATCACTGTTAAACATGCAATAGTGGATATAGTGGCTGTTTTTTTTTTTCTTAACTAGTGCAGGGAGCTAGCACTTGTCTTAATTATTTACAAAATAAGACTGTGAGTGTGAAGGGTATAAAGAATTTTTTTGTGACTTTCTTCTTGCAGTTTATTGGTTGGTGAATTGATTTTTACCTTTAAACGATTCTTGTCCTCTGGAGCAGGAGGGGCATTATCCTCACCGTTTCCATTAGTCTGTGTGCAACAATGTTTTGTTCAGTGATGATCATTCAGCGGCAGAGATAAAACAAAGTTCTTTCTGGTAGATTTTATATTAGTGCTATAATTTAATGCATTACTAGTTCACTCATTGCACACGCTGCCTGACTTGATGATGTCAGATATATATATTTTTTAAATGCAGAGGATGACAGTATTTTTATTGTATCCATTATCCCCATAAAATAATTATTAATGATTCTAAATGATATGAAATAGCATTTTCAACAAGGAATAAAATGTTCTCTTTTTGGGAGTCCCACCCTCAAAAACCCTGAGTATGAACAAACCCTTAAACCCTTTACTTGGTGTAAGTTAAGCCTCAGTCACACTGTTTTGGTTTGGACACGCTATACATGGATGCTAAAGGAGCTATAACTCTGGAAAGCATTCATTTGCTGCAGCTGATTAGCTTTGGGGTGTTTTTGTTTTTATAAAAAGCTACGTATATATCATGTGACGAAACTGCTTTCTAGTTGCTAATAATAATCCCTACAAAAACCTCTACTAGTTAAATATCTTAAAATCTGCTGATTTATGTCTCTCCAGCAGGAATGCATTAATACCTAGCTAGTATGCCTAGCTCTTCAAAAGTTTCATTAGGTTGTTTTCTGTTACCAGTAGTTTATGGGTTTGTGTGAAAATGGAGAAAACTTTTCAATATAGATATCAGACAACAGACTTATTAGTTGTCTGACTGAGGATAAGAGCTTTGATGAATTCTTTAATAGGAGATCTTACCTTGTCAGGTTCCTCTACAGCAATAACTTTGACAATGCTCTTGTGTTTGTGGAGTTGGGTCTTGAATGCACGCTCTATTTGCACATTAAACTTCATGAAAATGACATAGACAGTGTAACAAGCCACCAGCATCATGCTCTCCCACCACATTATGACATTATCCAGGAAGAAGATAATTAGAAAGATGAGGCCAAGTATGTAGAATGACACATCTCTGAATAGAGGCCACCAGGTCAGATGGAGAATCTCCCGAGAAAACAAAGCACACATTCCAATCACAAACAAAATGTTGAAAACTGCTGAGCCCACAATTGTGCCAATACCCACGTTGCTGTGGGCAATGAAGACTCCTATCAAAGAGGTAAAAAGCTCAGGGGCAGAACCTCCGGCGGCCATGAAGGTGGCGCCAGCCACATCATCAGAGATTGCCAACTTGTTTGTGATTACCCCGAGAGCAGGAACAAAAAACTCATCACACACAATTGCAAGTGACACAAACATGTACATCATCCCAATAATGTGAAGGGTCACCCAGCCACGTCTGCGATCTTCGATTGAAAAAATGTCCTCTGGGTAATCACCCTTCATATGTGGCGCTTCACCCGGAAAGGCTGGTGGGACGGTAGTTGTAGGAGGAGCTGGCGTGGGTGTCTCCGGAAGTTCAGGTGCCACATAGATGCAATGCACAAGAGTCCGATTTGTTGTTGGGAATAATGGCGATTCAGTAGTGGTAGATGTTGTGGATACTGAAGTTGTAGTTGCATTATGGACATCATACGTTGTGTTTCTTTGCTCAGTTTGCTCTAAATCATATGCTGTAGTTAGAGCCTTTCCCAGATCTGCAATCTCCTCAACCCCCTCTGCTGAACCTTCCCCACTATCCTGTGCAATTTGAGGCATTGCCAAAGGCTCGTACAGTCTAGTGCTGATGGTCAGCTGGTAGAGGGTACAGAGGAAAACCCCAGAGAGGAGAAAAAGAACTCGGCTCAGCTGCAGTCGCTTCCTTCTGGTACAATACATTTTTCTCCAGCAGCAGTGTTGCTTTTGGCTAGGTTGAAATAAGGTGCATAAATAAAATTTGGTGGAGTCCAGTTCTCTCCCCAGAAGACCATGGGGTGGCAGAATTCAAAACTCCAGTGATGTGACTCATTTCACATCTTCAAATCCATGGAATACCCAGTCTATAGTACAGTAAAGGAAAAACAGGGATAAAATTGCATTTGGAAAAGATATTAATAGTATACACGTATCTCAAGGCATTTGGACTATTCATAACTAAAATGTATCCATTATTATGTGTCATAGTATTATCATGGGGAAAACAATTATTTGTTTGCTCACTTACAACAAAATTAAATCTGTTTTTTTATGGTAGTTTTAGTTTAACAAAGAGAGACAGAATATCAAACAAAACACATTATATAAAGGTTATAAAGTCATTTGCATGTCACTGAGCGAAATAAAGATTTGATACTTCTGTTCTTAAATAGTTATGTGCATGAAGCACAATCGTCCACATAATCAGTTTCTTCCATTCCAACCTCTGCATTCCCACAGGCTAAAGAGTAAAGTGCTGTCAAAGAATGTCAGGAGCAAGATTACAGACCTGCACAAGGCAGGGACGGGCTACAAGACCATCAGCAAAAAGCTTGGTGGGAAGGTGACAACACTTGATGTGACTATTAGGAAATGTAAGACACAGAAAATGACCCTCAATCACCCTCTGTGTGGAGCTTCAAAGTAACTCTAATAAGGAAGCCACATGTATAGGCTCATGTGAAGTTTGCCAGTAAAGATCTAAACAATTTAAAGAAAGCTTGGGATAAATTGCTGTGGTCAGATGAAATAAACATCAAGATCTTTGACCTCAACTCGACTCACCTTGGTGGAAACACGGTGGTGGAAACATTATGTTTTGGGTACAGGAGAGATCCTCTCATTGAGGGACAAAAGGACGGGGCTGCGTACCACAAAATCTTGGACAAGAATGTCCTTGCCTCAGCTAGAGCACTGAAGAGAGGTTGTGGATGGGTCTTCCAGCATGACAATGATCCAAAACATACAAGGCAACTAAAGAGTGGCTAATTTGTTCTATGTCATTTTTTTCTGGAGTTTTTGTTGATATTGTGTGTCTCTCCATTGAAAAAAAAAAAACAACCATAAATATCAGAGACTGTTTATTTCTTTGAAAACGAGAAAACAAACAAATTCAGCAGATCATCAAATTATTATTTTCCCCACTGTATTCATAGATCCATTTATAAAGTGTTACAGTTACTTTCTTTGCATAATGCTGGTTTCTGCACAACATGAAAGACTAGAGTTGTGATGCAAAATTTAAAGCAAGGAGCCAATCTAATTGCTTTATCCAAAGAGAACAAAAAGGTTCAGACTTACCAGAGAATAACATCTTGCAAAATCATAAGTGCAAACATATCCAAACACAGGTTTCCACTGTCAGCTATTGTGGCACAAACAAACTGTTGCAGTGGCCAGTGTTATGTATGTAGGACACAGAACAACTCTTCACAATGGATCAGCATAATACCTAATACCTGAAGTCTTCTAAGAGGATTATGTGCGTTACCGCACTCTCACTTGTGAGTATACCTTAGTAATATTCAGTTTAATGCAAAATAAGTGTTTGTTTTGTCTAATGGTATTTTGACACCACAGTGTTTAGAGAAAAAAACTTTGATGACATAGTGAAACGTATTATACTGGTATGTCTACCTTTAAACTTCATATTAAAACATATAAGTACCATATCAATGTGCATAACTGATAAAGTGACGCGTTCCTTGATGGATTGCTGTTCCGGTGTTTCCAGCATAGGAATATGAAATAGTAGTGCATCTTAAAACACTGTTGCAAGGGCGAATGCCATATTCTGAAAACTAGCCAACCATTAGCCTCAGACTGTTTGCAGCTTTCAGTGGTGACTTGATCAGTGATGTCACGTGTACTGTATGTATGATTAATGCTCCCCTAGTGTAGGTGAATGCATTTCCATGAGTGAACGCAGCTTTAGCACTGACTCCTCCCATACCTGCTTCCTAATCGTGGGTTGATAATATAATGCACCTGAAGCCTTTGTTTACGTCCCACTCTAACCGTATATGCACTATATGCTTGCTATCTATCTTGCAGCAAAAGAGGAGGTATCACTTGGATCAAATAAATATGTATTTGGAAAGATGTTCTTGTAAAATTAAACTTTGGTTTTTGGTTTAATTTTAAAATGTGTGCTGAAATTTGGTTAATAGTTTATTGTGGGGTGTATGATTGTGTACCTGCCAACAGGGGTAGGCAACTCCAGGCCTCGAGGGCCGGTGTCCTGCAGGTTTTAGATGTGTCCTTGATCCAACACAGCTAATTCAAATTGTTAAATTACCTCCTCAACATGTCTTGACGTTCTCCAGAGGCCTGGTAATGAACTAATCATTTGATTCAGGTGTGTTGACCAAGGGTGATATCTAAAACCTGCAGGACTCCAGCACTCGAGGCCAGGAGTTGCCTACCCCTGATGTACAACAAGGTTAATTGCAACATAAAACCATAAATATTTTACATACTGTTAGAGATGCATCACAAAATTTAAACTAACTGGAAAACATACTAATGGGTATAAAATCAACATCATAGGTGAAAAGCTTCTTATGTACTGATCAGTTATTATGATTATTTGCTTCTGTTTTTTAGTTTTCTTAAACTATTTATTATCTGTGTTTCTGTAACTAACAATGTGAAGCTATTGCTTATGCCTAAACACTAAGGATTTAAAAGAAACCCTTTTTCAGAATAACTGTGTAGTCCCATGTGTTCCTGTGATTTATATGATTTGTGTCTTAGTCTTTTATTTACCCGGGTAAAATGCTAATTGAGATTTTAATCTCTTTTCCAAGAGAGACATGGCCTAGAGACCAGCAGAGGTTACAACATACACATCACATAACAATATTCAGTACAGACAAGTGGGCACAATCTATATACTCTATATGAATCTATGTGAAACATACACAATAATACACATAAACAATAGTTACACTGACCAAAACAGCTATTCTGTTGCTCCTTTAAAATAGACTCAACTATTGTAACCCAACTTGTGTAAATTGTAAATAATAAACAGATCAAGATCTTTTTTTATAACACCCTCACAATTTTAATTAGTGTCAGGGGGACACTGCATTGGCTTTCAATGTTCTTTTTTTTAAATTTCAGGTTTGTGGTTATTTTTCTCAGGAAATCATCTTTCATGCATCAAGCCTTTGTTCTCTAGTTTCTTTAAAGTCACTGACTTTATGAAATGTATATGAACCCTTTCAACAAGCCTACTTGGGCTTACAAACAGGATGTCAGTGCGCAGGATAGAAGGCCTTTGTATTTTGTTGGGCGTAATATAGGGCCCCTGACGTCACAGTCACACCATCACTGGGGATTTTCTTTTTTCAGAAAAGACTATTTATACATTTTCCGAGCGGATGTCTGATTATTTAGTTTTTTTTATTTACACGGCTGTCTATATGCTTGATAACTGCATAGTTTTGTCCAATGAATAAAACATTTCTATGGTCACACACTGTAACTCATTAGTAAGTAGAGATCGGGAGAATTCAGGATAATCCAAAGAAATGAGTAACGATACAGCAATTAATGAGCGGTGAGAGTCGGAAAAGCCAGGTTGAATTGGTAAGTTTTCAAGCATGCTTTAAAGGATTGAATGGAGTCAGAGGCACGAACGGTAGCAGGAAGACTATTCCAGATGTTTGGTGCTACAGAGGCAAAGGCACGATCATCCCTAGTCTTCAAACGGTGCCTAGGCTGGGCCAGAAGTAACTGACCAGATGATCAAAAAGAACGGCTGGGAGTATAGAGACTGAGGAGGTCGGTGAGATAGTCAGGTGAAAGGTTGTTTAGGCATTTAAAAGTAAGCAGCAGAACTTTAAAATCAATACGCAATTTAATAGGCAGCCAATGTAAATCAGAGAGCACTGGAGTAATGGAGGCAAACTTTCTAGTTCCGGTTAGGAGACGAGCCGCAGCATTCTGAACAAGCTCTAATCGTTGGAGGTGAGCGAGTTGAAGTCCAGAGTAGAGAGAGTTATATTAATCTAATCTGGGGGTCGCAAAGGCATGTATACGTTTTTCAAGATCTTTGTATCAAACGTTTGACCTTGGAAAATTGGCACAAAAGCCAGATTTAACCACAGAGGAAACCTGTTTATCCAGCTTAAATGAACTATCCAGGAAAACACCTAGATTACTTACAGTATCTGTAAGAATAATAATAATAACAATAAATCAAAAAGAAGAATCTGATTATCACCTTTTTGCGAACATCGGGCAGCCTGAGCAGGTAGATGGCTTGCTCCCACCATGAGTCAGGCCACTGTAAAGACAATGGCTCCTCTGTTTTTTCATCTTGATCCTCCTCCACTCTGTTTTCATCAGCTCTGGCTTTGTTGTCATCATTTCCTTCAGGTAGATTCTCCTAGGAAGCAGTTCATTAATCATGACTGGCAACAGTACCTAATATGTACCATGATTTCTGTCTTTTTTTAATAACAACTAGACCACTGTTTGAGACAATCTTCTTATCAACTGACTGATCCTTCTCCTCGTGTTTTTAATCATCTTATGCTACAGACTATACAATGCTGCAACTTTACAGACAGTATAATTTCAATTTTTGACATAGTTGCAACTACATACTGTATGTGTCTAACTGGTAACTTTTTAATGTTTCTGTGAACGCCTGGCATTCATGTTATCCTTGTGTTAATTCTTTTAATTCTTTAAATAGATGCAAAACATACTTACAGACACATCTGAATGAACTACACTCTGTAGTTTTGTTCCCAATCATACACTAAAATTGTAACACATCACTGGTGTAGATACCATCTGGGGTTAAATGGGTTTTTAAATCAAAGCAGTCATTACAAACCAGTTAACAGTGACCAATAAATGAGGTTTATGTGTGAAACTACATTTATGATGATATTGTCAGTTAAGGATTGTTGTGGACACGGTTGAAATCATTAAATTAATGGGTTTTAAACAAGATAATACAGATTTTAGGCTCTTGAAAATTACATAAATACCAAACAGTAGATTCAATTCTTGTCTGATTCAACATAAGACCTCTGAAAAGGAGAGCTTACCTTGTCAGGTTCCTCTGCAGCAATAGCTTTAAAAATGCTCTTGTGTTTGTGGAGTTTGGTCTTGAGTTTGTGCTCTATATGCACGTTAAACTTCATGAAAATGACATAGAGAGTTTAACAAGCCACCAGCATCATGCTCTCCCACCACATTATGACATTGTCCAGGAAGAAGATGATCAGTACGATGAGGTCAAATATGTAGAATGACATATTTCTTAATAGAGGCCACCAGGACAGGTGGAGAACTTGCTGAGAAAACAAAGCACACAATCCAATCACAAAAGAAACACTGAAAACTGCTGAGCCTGCAACTGTGCCAAAAGTTGTCATGGGTGATGAAGACTCCTATTAAGAAACCCAAAAGCTTTGGGGTGGATATTCCAGCAGCCATGAAGGTGGCTCCTACCACATCATAGGAGATGGCTAACTTGTCCCTGATTACCCTGAGAGCAGGAACAAAGAATTCATCACACAAGATCGCCAGCAGCACAAACATGTAAATGATCCCAATGAGGTGAAGGATCACCCAGCCAAAAGATATCTAGAGGATAATGAGCATGAAGGATGGTCGGTGCAGGAGGAGCTGGAGCTGCTGTAGATATTTCTTTTGGAAGCTTAGAGGCTGCAGAGATAAACCCTTTTGTGACTTGCAGTAATAGAGACTCAGTAGTGGTGGGTATGTTGGAATCTGAGGTTGTTTCCACATCATCTACCACATGCGTCTGATCTTGGGGATCATAATCATGCTTTGCATTGAGAGATTCCACCTCAAGTATCTTTGTTAATTTCCCCCTGAAATCCTCTCCGTTCTGAGGCAAACCTGGTCTGGCACTGACAGTCAGCTGACAGAGGGAACAGAGGAGAGTCCCAAAGAGGGAAAAAAAAAAAAAGAAGCTTTATCAGCCGCAGTCGTTTTCCTCTTGTACAATTCATTTTTGAAAAATCAATCAAAAAAATTCCCAACTTCCCACTTCCACTTCAAAACCTAAAAAAAAAAAAAGGTTCTTCAAAAAGTTTAGGAACTGTTTTGCAATTACAACTCAAATACAGCACCAGATAAGGATATTTTCAGAGGTTCTGTTCTATTCAGATAATCAAGACAAATATTATAATTTTTAATCATAGTGGCAGACATCTAAGGAATGTTCAAGTTATAGGATATGACGCTGGAAAAGTCTTCATCGTAAACATTATAACCTACTTTAGGTCCGACTAATAGGATTATGTGTAGCGTCTCATCTTAAACTAATCATCAAAGCAGAGTCCAGAAAGCCTAAAATACATTTAAAAATATTTAAACTGTGAAAATGTATTTTGAAAATGTGGGTAGATACCTTGAAACGCGTCCACC